ACAGCTCATATATATATATATATATATATATATATGCACATATTTAATATCTATTATATCATATTTCTTTTATTAGTATAGATTGATTTTAATTTCTAATTATTTTTTATTTATTTTAATTTTAAAACAAGAAAGATAAAAAGTAAATTAATCTGCGATTAAAGATGATTTACATTGGTAAATAAATGAAAATATACTAAGATAACTTTGATTTTGATTGTAATCAAAAACTAAATTTTTTACATCAAATTTATGTCAATTTTTCCTAGACAAATATTTTAATGGTAATCGTTTCAATGTGATTTTCCATATTAAATGCGTTTAAAAGATATAATTCGATTTAAAACATTGCGTTATATATGCTGTGATGTCTTTACACATCGAAACTTGAAACAGCATTCCGATTAATAACAACAGAACGGGTCACCCAGATTTGACCCTGGGTTTGCGGATCAATCGTTATCCTGTCACCGTGAGGCTATCATCAATATCTTAATAGATAAGAACATATTTTTGCTTCTATGTCGGAAAATGTATTTGAAATTGCTACGCATGATTGAATGATATATTGTGTGTCCAATCTCACATATATAATCCTATAAATTATAGATCCGCTCGTAAAAGTATAGATCTGATATTTTTCTTTTGATAATTATTACCACTATAAAAAGAACCAAATAATAAGTATATATCTTGGCTTTTTTTAATTTAAATTTAATTCTAAAGAAATCATTTAAATTATTTAAATTGATCAATTCAAAACTCCTTTAAAATATCAAAGATGACATTTGTGATTATTTGCAATAATAAACTTTTTATTTCAGTAAAAATATATATATCTTGTAAACTCGCAAAATTATTATGACATCTGCTTTACATATTGATATATGCATGCCGTAATGATAAAGTGAACACTCAATGGGCATTTTGTATTTACTTGTACAATTTCTACACATTTGTCCAAGAGAGGTATAAACTTCGCCGGTATACCATTCTTCTCGTTTCTGCAAACAAATTTATATATACACTCGCCGCGATGAAGCGTGTTATATAAGTCAAGATTTAATTACTCTAAAACGAAAACTGTCTTTCTCTCGAATGTTGTCGTCATCAGATTTGCACTATGGGTTGTTTTTTCAGTACCAATCAAGGACCATCCTGCCTTCTTTCTGTCCAACAAGAATTTTTGTAATTCACGTGGCTCTACCTTTAGAGAATTTAATATACATATATTCTTTTGAACGCAACCGTATATATTCTTTTTATTACAATTGATAAACTTGCAAACAAAGAAACTTTAAAATCTTCTAACAAAAAATATTTCTGAATTATTTTGAATGCTTTTAAAAGACAAAAATTATGCAACGATTCAAAGAATTACGGTCTTCTTATGTCATGCTATTGAAAGTCATAATTAACAATGTTTAAAATTGTGGATTCCAAAAAGATGTTGTTGAAATACCTGTATCATATTTAACCATTTACCAGCAGATATATTAAGAAATTTACGTTCTTCATTTTTCACACAATCTGTATTCGTAATGATTAGCGCTTTAATTGCAAATGTCTTGCACATTTTAGCAATATCGTCTAAATTTGCAAGTTGATCGACTAAGGATGCTACATTTATTAGGCCTTTCTGTAATTCTATATCCAGCGTATATATGAACTCCTTAATCATTCCGTCTAAATCTGAAGGTTTTGAAAGATCAAAGAAATCTTTTGCTAAATATCATAATAATTCGCCAGATAGATAGAGGATTATTACTTTCAAACAATTGGCGTGTATTACTCGAAAACATAATTATTATGTACACGCAACATATATATTGCCTTTTTAATTTACCTGCAAATGACTTTGTTAGATAAACGGAAGATTTAGTATCAGACAGCAATAAATTTTATTATATAGCCGCAGAGGATGTCTATTACTCCGATTGAACCTCAACATTTGGAACACATCCGGATTAATCTCACTCATCGAAACTGATATTAGTCAAACGCGGGAATTCATAGAAAATAGTCTAAAACTGTTAAAGAGTGTATATGTTAAATAGTGTATACCATATTATTGAAATTAATTCTATTTTATCTTGAAAACAAATCAGCGTATATCTGCAAGCTGTAATCGTTGACTGGATGAAAATGGGAAAAGTAAAAATCATCTTGTGCTCTATCTGAACTTTCTATCGAATTTTTATGCAAGCTAGTTACAGCCGTTTGATATGTACATTTATATTCTCACTCGAGCCACGCTTGATGCAATCTCTCCTGTCGTGCTTCAGGAGGATTATTTGTATATTTGCCAATGGCGTTGGAGGGTGTCGCCGCTGCAGTCCGACCTGCATCCATCGAGTGAGAGACCAACATCGCTCTGGAGTACCGGTC